GAAAAAAATTCACACCTGTCTAGAAGAATGGGTCCGAACGTGGATACCTTTTGCAAATGTTTGGCACGTTTTCTCCACATAAATGTGATCCAATACAAGAGCTTATACTCATATATTTATAATTTGATACACACTACCCAATGAACCAATAATTATGACAACCACCTTACGTTCAAATGTAGTGTCTACAATTATTAATTCGCATTGTACATGTTTTCTGAATTTGATCTTAGAGCAAGTGTCAACAAACGCATGAAATGGGGTTGAGATTTTTACAATAAATGCTTTTTGTAACCGATTATCGATCAATAGCAAATCCGGTCTACGATGTTGACTATGCTAAAATCTGCCCAATTATTGAGAAACATTAAAATTGATTAACCAGTCTTTACTCATAATTTCCTTATGGATTATATCAACTATTTTGTCGAGCGGCATACATATTTCTGAAAAGCATACATCCATTCATCACATGTGATCATTTGGGTTGTTACATACTACACACCTTTTATCATTGGTATTTGGATAATATCTATTTAACAACGTGCCTACTTCCTGATATCTCGCTTTATATATAAAACTAACAAGATTATCTCACAATGATAAATTTTCAAGAAAGGATGATGACAACTTTAAGTCTCTACATTCTGTAGTAAATACCCTTCCTTGTGACTTCAAAGCACCTAATCCTTTAATTCTATTTTCATTATGGGTATTTTTAATAACAGTGATACATGCAAACGCCATACACATAATACATGAATACTCACATACTTTATTTAAATCCTACGTACATATATACACACACAGTAACCTGCAATGCTGAAGGAGATTTAATCGTTATTAATAAACAAAAATGTCAATACATTAATTCCTATAACTGTACTTCTTTTATATAGGCCTAATACATAATATATCTAATTTATATACTTATATACTTACTTACATTCAGATATTTCTGCTTAAATAAACAGTCCTATGAACCTTTTGGAACTGAATAATACAGAACAACATACTGTAGTTCCGCTAACCTACGATCTTATTGTAATTATTTTTTGTTCGTGTACACTAAAGTCATTGTGCATAGCAGTAAATTCACTGTTAGTTTGTGGATGACGTATGATTACTTGTAAAATAAGAACTTCACTAGCTTGTAACTATTCTATATGACTATGCAGGGTAATTTTAATTACCAAAATTATTGTAACATATATATACATATTATACATATACATATATATATATATATATATAAATATGTATACATATATATATATATATATATATATATACACGCAAACATATACATACATATACACATAAACGCACATACACATATACACCTACATACACACACACACATATACATATGCATATACACCTACATATACCTACATCTAGTCTCTTAACACACATCTAAGTTTATTTTGCTGCACATACCGATACCTGTTGCTAGCTGACTTCATTAGTTATAGTTTGTCTTTGCAACATTTTTGCTTGTTTGCCAGATTCAAGGAACCAGGCTATTTGAATGGGCCTAGGGACTGTATTTTGGAATATTAATGGAAAACATAACATTCCATTCATACTGCTGTCAAAATAACTGTCAAATGAGCATGCACAAATACAATAAGCATTGATAAAGGGAGCTATTTTTGTCTAGTATTATTGACAATGTATGAACACTTAAATACAAGAGGTGCTATTCCCAGCTGGTTTTTATTAGAATACCAATAGGCTTGAATTCTAGCTCTATGGCTATAAAGGAGAGTGGAAAAAAATAATTAAAACCCATATTAGCCTAAACAGTCATCTTTGAGACTAAAATGGCTGTGTCCCCTTAATAGGAGTTAGACTTTGTATAAAGTTAAAAGATATATTTTCCCTGCTTCTCAGCCAAAAAAGTTTCCCCTTACTTGGGGTGTTGCAGGAGAGAGGCTGTATAGTTCCAGGTACACATATCCTGTGTAATAAGTCCCTGTACATGATGATTTTGTATGTGCAAGTGTCTGATCACGATTTCAATCATATTGAATTATTTTGTATAAACTAAGAGATATGTTAACATATAGTTGTCCCTTTGTCTTATATATTTAAGTAATTTAGTACACCCTTAAAATAAATGGTAAGTAAAAATATTTGAGAAGTTTAGATGTGTATAAGAGACAGGCATGGAACCATGTGATATATGATTACTGTAAATAAGACAGGACTTTTTTATACGGTACCTTGTTTCGCGAACCCAATGTCCTCTAATATTGATAATTTAGAATAAAAATACAAATATTATTGGCTAATTAGCGCACACCAGCCGCTGCGAAAAACCTGGAAATTTCAGAAAACAATTTTCTTTATTTTTATCATGCCCGCAGCTGCCTTGAAATTTCCAAAAATAAGACATGTATAATTCTTTCTATTTATATAAGAGTAAAGCATTTAACCATCCCATTACTACACTGTTTACATTTAACAATAACATTTTATTTTTATTTTATCCTCGAAACTATTTTGCTAAACACGAAAACAAAGTTTTAGGTTATTTTTTTTCCGCCCGTCTATTATGATCTTTAAACAAACACGTTTGCGAAACAAGAAATAAAAAAAGTCCCGCCTTACACATGGTATTTCTGTTCTTATATACATTGCACCCAAAGTAGATAGCTTACACATATTACAGTGCGTGTTCTAATGATATTCTGGATTGGGACATGTGTTATTCTGTGTATGAAAAAGTGATCACACTTCACAATCAGTTCACATGATTACTTTATGTGCAAGAGTATCCAATGTTACATCTATGACAATTACTACTATTAGTATTATTATTATTATTATTATTATTATTATTATTATTATTATTATTATTATTATTATTATTATTATTATTATTAATGTTTTATTCTTTTAACATTAGCTGAATATTAAGTGGTATGTGGGTATATACCGGTACTGAGGTAGGTAGGTAGGTAGTTAGTTATGGTGTGTCTGTAGAAATGTAGTTTTAAGTGTTTCACATAAAAATGGGCATTACAGTAATTAAGAAAGTGTATGTGTTCATATACATATTATTATGTTGATACAAATAAATGACATTTATTTTGTGGTATAATCGTATAATGTAGCTAAAACTATTTAAAAATACTAATTCATGGTTAGGAAAAACCATAAATTTTCATTGTAAATTAATGCCGTTTATCCCTCACAATGACAGTTTTAAGGTTGAGGATGTTTACCTGTTAGTTAATCGTAGACAATTTGATTGCGTGCTCGATAATTAGCCACTCATTGAAGGGGTGTTTTTAAAATTGTATTCATCTCACTTCTCTATAGTGAGAAGATTGCGACCGACTTGCCGGTTTCAAAATAAGGCCGGTCTCAAAAATAACTTGTGTTTGTAATTCAGAAGGTTTGAATTTTCGTTGTCTAACACCATCTAAGTTTATGGCAATGCATGGGGCCAAGAAACTAGGTAATTCTGTTTTTTCATGATGTACGACAGAGTGGCAAGTCAAATGGCCGAGCATGTCACTTACCATGATAGTAAGTGACATGCGCTGTTTGACATGCCGCATAGAGTAGATTGTGCTCTGTTACTTTACCGTTTTTACCGTCACATTTTGCTGATTTATTACACTGTGATTTACTTACTGACGTGTTATTATCATTTTGAACAGATGACATGAATTCACACCTGTCTAGAAGAATGGGTCCGAAAGTGGATACCTTTTGCAAATGTTTGGCACGTTTTCTCCACATAAATGTGATCCAATACAAGAGCTTATGCTCATATATTTAGTAATTGATCCACTTTGTTTTTGGGTAAAACCCGGGTAAAACCCATTATCTTTAACCCAGGTACAACCCTGCGATACACATTACCCAATGAACAAATAATTATGACAACCACCTTACATCCAAATGTAGTGTCTACAATTATCAATTCGCATTTTACGTGTTTTCTAAATTTGATCTCAGAGCAAGTATCAACAAACGCATGAAATGGGGTTGAAATTGAAATACAATAAATGCCCTTTTGTAACCGATTATCGATCAATAGCAAATCTGGTCTACGATGTTCACTATGCTAAAATCTGTCCAATTATTGGGAAACATTACAATTGATAAACTAGTCTTTACTCATAATTTCCTTATGGATTATATCAACTATTTTGTCGAGCAACATACATATTTCTGAAAAGCATACATCCATTCATCACATGTGATCATTTGGGTTGTTATATACTACACACCTTTTATCATTGGTATTTAGATAATATCTATTTAACAACGTGCCTACTTCCAGCAACTGATATCTCGCTTTATATATAAAACCAACAAGATTATCTCTCAATGATAAATTTTCAATAAAGGATGATGACAACTTTAAGTCTCTACATTCTGTAATAAATACCCTTCCTTGTGACTTCAAAACACCTAATCCTTTAATTCTATTTTCATTATGGGTATTTTTAATAACAGTGGTACATGCAAACGCCATACACATAATACATAATCTAATTTATATACTTATATACTTACTTACATTCAGATATTTCTGCTTAAATAAACAGTCCTATGAACCTTTTGGAACTGAGTAATAAAGAACAACATACTGTAGTTCCGCTAACCTACGATCTTATTGTAATTATTATTTGTTCGTGTACACTAAAGTCATTGTGCATAGCAGTAAATTCATTGTTAGTTTGTGGATGACGTATGATTATTTGGCTAATAAGAACTTCATTAGCTTGTACCTATTCTATATGACTATGCAGGGTTATTTTAATTACCAAAATTACTGACACATATATAGGCCTATATATACACACATATATATACATATTAGACACGCATATACACATACACACATAATCATACATACACACATACCACACACACACCCACCCCCCACACACCCATAATTATATATATATATATATTATATATATATATATATATATATATATATATATATCATTCAATTAAGTATTGCAGACGCATAAATAACGGTAAATATTTTGACTTTAACTTTAAGATAGAGTAATTAATTTGATACCAGTATTTTAATGATGGGGCTGGTAGTTCGAAACAGATTGTTTACCACCTCTCGATGCTACAATGTAGCTTGCAACAATATAAATCCTGATTATTTCACTAAATACTTGGTTAATTCTGAAAATGCTTTATGTCTTAAATGTTTATAAATAATAATTAAAAAAAAAATAATCCAGACCCCATAACCCCACCCCGTCCCTTTTTCATCCACACCCCGACAAAACACCCTCTCCAACAAGGCTTGGCGAATAAAACACTTCTTATGTCTACTAAATTCATCAGAACAACGGGGATGCCATAATAAGCACGTAGATGCTTCAGCTTTATAAAGGTATAACCAATTCCCCCGAGATATCAATAATTAAATCCCTGGGGTTAAAAATAGAACATCTCTGTTCCCCAAACTATTTCTAGCAAACCGTATAAAATGTTATCGCAATAGCGAACTGTGTTGTTGCTAAGGAGTTTCTTTGAATGCTGCTGTGATTTTTCTTCAATTTCTGCAGTCCTTTTAGAGCCCTTTTGCTCAGAACTTTATAGGCCAGTTTACAGATAATAATTATAATTCAAAATAGTTTAACTTTACACATAATTGTCCGATTAAAGTCATTGGGCCCTCATTATAAAATTAATGATGTGCTCTATTCAAAATATTTATATAAAATATTCGAAATATTTAATTGAAAGTAAGTTTTAAAGGAACTAGGAACACATCCTTTTTTTGAAATTTAAATAAATTTATAATACTAAAATATTAAACAAATACCATAAAGATAAAAAAAACCCGTTATTATTTATTAAAATTTACTACAAATTTGCAAGTGTTGTGTTAAACTCATCAAACAAATTGCAACCTTTAAAGACCACCCCATTGTCCACCCCAAAGCCTACCCCACTTTCACAATGGTATAGTCCATTTTGGGTTGGGTTGGTTTATGTCCGGTTGGTTATTGTCCTGAGTGGTTGTTGTCCTGAGTGGTTGTTGTCCTACCCTGGTGGGAAAAAAGGCCTACTTAATACAATAAAGAAATAACTGATACTTTACTAATTATACTATGAGCACCAGTTATTACCATATGAATAGGATTAAAAGGGTGTGTGGTAATCCTACGTTGGTAATATAATGTACATTTAAACATCGAGTTGAGTAATGTCAACTGGTTTAGTAATGTAGTCAATAAATCATCCCTTTATTCATTATATTAGAATTAAGGAATTCTCCAAAATGGAGGATTATTTAAGAAATGAAACTGATTTCCACGAAAGCAGTTTAAAGCAAGATCCAATGCCCTCCAACTTAATGCCATAGTATGTAAATAATATAATTATGATTCTCCTGTTGATAAATACTGCCCTCTTTGCCAGAAAGTGAGGAGGATATCATACATTTTATGTTAACATGTAGAACACTTTAAAAAAACATATCTGAGTAATATATCGCTGCGGATAAGAAAATCACATCAAATTCTGATTATTATTTATGCCACTTATTCATGAGTGGAGATTGTAACACTAAAATGGATATACTCCTTGGAAACTCTAGCAAATTTATGAACGATCTTCCTATCTCGTATTTAAAAATAGCATGGCAACAGAGAAAAGACCGTATTGTAAAACCATATATAGCAATATTCATATTTGTTTATCTACACCCATTATATTTATCATTAGCAATCGTTTCCAATCCGTTTATAGATCATATATATCAAACTTCAAAATTAAATTTTATAACTTGGAGATTATACTGTACTATTAATAAATCTAGGTATACACAATCATGGTGTAGCCATTATGAACTTGGATGCACACCAGTAAGCAAAGTGCGAGTGTCGTTGGAATATGTAGGTTTTAAGTAGAACAACTAATCATCATCTAGTTTCAATACGGTTCGTTGTATGTAGGCTCCGACGAGGTCATAGCAGTGTGTGTACTGTTCCTGCAATACAAAACATTATCCATCAGTAACAGATATTTAAATATTCAGTATCAAGTTGATGAGGAGAGCTGGAAACAGGTTATTTGTTTCTATTGTTGACAGAGTGAAACTGCCTCTAAAAAATCCCGTGTCATGCCGTCAAGCGCTCACATAGAGAGGAGGAGTATTCTTCAGCTTACAATATTAAACAATTTACAGTAATATAAATGATGAGCATGATGGTAGGATATGGATAATGATGATGATGAGGTTGAGAAATAATGGTGATTAGGTTGATGTTGACATATTCAATTATTAGTTTCTAATAACTCTGATTCTTACGATGTTTTCCACCAATCCTGGTCTGTTTGCCCGAAGTCGTTTCACTGACTGAAAGACATCAACAACGCCATCATGCTTTATCCTGTCCAGTGTCTCAGTGATGGCACAATAAACCCCAGTTCGACCCATCCCATTCCTATTAGAAGTGAATATTGTAAGGTATTCATACAAGAAAACAACAATTTCGTTTTTTACTTATTTATTCGTTAACAAATCATAATCATAGGTGGGGCCAGGACCTACAAAATGCTGCACGAGAGTGCTAGACGTTACCAGGGGCGTAGACTGATAGCGGTCTAGGATGGAAGGGGTGGAGGGGGAAGGGGATGTTTCCAGAATCTTTCCATTGAAAACCCTACACACCCTCTCCTCAGACTCCTTTTAAGTAAACCACTCTTAAAGGATGTATATTATTATACTTTATGGTTATAATTTCCAACTGAAAGCTAATAACCTTAATTCAAATATTAAACGTAGTTCTTCAATGTATTAGCGCGAAATAAATTGTACTAAGCAAATACAATCATATTATATGAACAATGTATCTTACTCACATGCAATGTACAACAACTGGGTGCCCCTTCTGTACATCAAGGTTTGATTCAACTATTTCATATACCTCCAATAAAGTTTCCAACCTGTTCGGGCTATCTTGGCCTACTGGCCAGTCTGTCACCTGATATTGCGTTACAGCTAATGGTTCACGTTTCTTAAAACAAATTAATTGCACAATTGTTATCATCATAATTGTGTACAAATTATCTTTACATTAATAGACTTACCAATAGGCAAATAAAAACAAAGAAATTTTCAGTTATGTTATTAGTCTTCCTTTTTTTACACATACTTTTTATAATAATAATAATAATAATAAGAATAATAAATAAATAATAATAATAATAAATAATAATAATAATAATAATATTTCTCTCATTAAAAAATATTTATATTATTATCAATATCAAAATATTGATAATAATATAAACAATTCTAAGCAGTTGTTTCAGGCAAAATTAACTTATGACATGATTTTACAGTATATTTGCTATTTGACACATATTATAATTGTTCGATTTAATGGAACAGATCTGTCTCTTATACACATCTAGATGTGTATAAGAGACAGATATAATATATGTTATATAGTATATATTATAACAAAATATTTATTAAGCAAATATAACAATAATTCCACATTGTGGTGATTTCTTTGATCATAAAATAAAAATATAGAGTTATGTTAAAAAATAACTCACTTCATCGACTTCATCGTTTATGAAAAACTTCCTGATAATTATGTGATCGCCTCTACTTTCATACGAGTTGAGTTGTATTTTCATATTGCCAACATGTTTAGTACTGCCCTCATTCTCCTGCCAGTATTGTGCGCATGTCTGTTTAAACCGATACGAAGGAAATGTAGATCCATCAAAATTATTTTAGTAGTGTTCAGAATGAGGAACTAAATATTTTGTAATTAGTAATCTTTGAATGGGTTCTGTCATTGTGCGCATTTCTGTTTAAACCGATACGAAGGAAATATAGATCTATCGAAATTATTTTAGTAGTGTTAAGAATAAGGAACTAAATATTTTGTAATAGTTTAGTGCAACAAAATAGATTTCAACAATTTTGACATTTAAAGATGTACTGTGTCCCTTGAAAAAAAAAACAACATAAAAATCGTTTTGGAATTTTACTTGCCCATTTTGAAGTAACATAAAAATTATCAACTTGAACATAGAAATTAGTGTAGTGTATTACAGCGAAAAAATGATAGAAACACTTCAGTCACTGGAAGTGTTTCATTATCTTTATTATAATTATCCAGTTAAAAAATCAGAGAACAATTTTTTTAAATTTAATGATTTCTATGCTCAAGTTAATAATTTGTATGTTACTGCAAAATGAGCAAGTTAATTTAAAAATTATTTTTTTATGATTTTGGTAATTGCCAAGGCACAGTACATCTTTAAGCATGTTTTTGAACAAGATTTCCGACAAGTGAATAGTTTGGCTTGTCTATGCCACATATGGTATTAAAAAGTGTTTTGCTTTGCTACTAACCAAGTCTATTGAATTAAGCACCACAATCGCAGTTGCTTTCCAATCGTGAACTAGCCTCCAAAAATCGTCTACAGTTTCTGTTAGTGGCATCTGAGTAGCAATGAATTTGTTGAATGCTTTGTAACTCTTAATATACAAAAGAATAATGTTATAATATTAATAAGAGAAATAAAATATATAGCGACGTTCCTGTACTACACACTTATATCATGTTTTTCTTTGTCTTCAAATTTTATTTGCTATTACCTGCAGCTTATGGATCTGAATTAGTTATCGCACACTGTATCCAATGACTCCTATTTTAATTAATAATTGTCTAAACATTGAAGGTATGGTATAAATAAGTACAAGAAGACACGAACCTATTAAAAAGCTTGATGCCTCCAAAAAGAAAAGACTTTTGTTGGATGACTTAATTTTAAAGATTCTCCTTTTACGTAAAGGCTTTGCATATCGTATGACGAAGTGGCAGGAAAATATTAAACTTTTTGTAGACATATTAAAGTTAAATATTGCATGTTATGATTCATCATAATATTTTGATTGGATTTATTCGGTGTAAACACCAAGGATAGCCCACGAAAGTCTAGAAGAAGACTTATTTCCAGTGGGGTCCTACTGGTGGGGATTGAGCAGTACACCGGGATACAATCCCCTACTCTTTTCCGAGGAGTGTACTGCGTTCTTTAACGTGCACATGGGCCCATAAATGCACACGGGACCAACGCCTTAAACGTCTCATCCGAAAGACGGTGCGCTATTATAACTTGTATCTCAGCCCTCCAGCTGAAATACAAGGAGAGGCAGAGCGATGGGAATTGAACCGGGGACTACAGATCTCCACGGTTCAGCGCAAACACAGTGGCTACTACCAGATTAGCCGACTGAGCTAAACTGCTCTAATATTAATCCTATTTAGCATTTTTGTTTTGTTTAATAGCTTAATGTTAATGCTTGCATTTTAAACTTACATTCACAAATGAAGCGTTGATATAATTGTTGCTTTCAAAATTCAGTATCACTCGTGATCGATCAACTGAAACAGGAAAATTGTCATTCTATATTGCTGTTAGTGTTGTATATATTACGGGACATAGTTTCAGATGAAGTACGAAATAATTGAAATGTTATAGTGTAAATATTATACAGAATGGAATTTCACCATGATGAAAATATTTAACTCCATGGAAACTATTTTGTTTTCCTCTCAGATTATCTGAGAGTAGTTGTCGTAGTGGACGTGGCTCTGCACAATATGGCCCGAGGGTCAGAATACTATCTGTGCATTCCGTTGTGTCCTTGATAAATAAAGCATTACACCTTCATAATTTGTCGATACTAAAAACCAATCACTTTTCCACTTTATAGGGGCAGACACATAGAATCCTGGTACACTTATCTTACTGATCAGAGGTATAACAATCCAGCCGTCCAAGAAGAAATCTCTAGCATCACTCCTACTCTAGATCTCCTTAACTGTACTCAACTTATGTAGTTAATTTGCATATCTTGCCAAAAACAACAGGGCATTGGAGGGCTAGTCTATTTTTATACCTCCATGGTCTAATTGGTTAGATTACGTTTGGGCTGATCCACTTCCTAGTCCATTCCCCATGACCTTGGTGACCAGGAGAACTCCCAAATTCCAAAGTTATCTTACATCGTACCGTACCTTGCGATACATTTGCAAATAGGTTTTTCTTGATGTTGTGTTGTTGACAGCCGCTTGGCATTGCCTCTGCTCCTGGTGATGGTGTAATGGCATTCAGCATCTGTTTGGGGGCCAAAAACATCCTTGTTTTAATTAATGTTCATACAAAACAAAAAATGTGAATTGGTAGATCTATTTTTAGTGTTTTTGGAAACAAACGTTCAGGGTAATAATCTTATTATTTAGAGGTCGTCTATGACAGTGATAATGCTTTTTTGTAATATTGTAGGCCTATGTTTGTTCTTCCGATGTCATCCGATCCTTCATGTGATGATAAGATACATTGTTATGAATCTATGTGATGCTTGTTACCATATAAGTTAAGTACTTCATCAGAGTAAAGGTAAGTGCATCGAAAGAAAGTTTTTGAGAGGATGAAGCTAATATACAAAAGATTAGACCAAGAAAAGGAAATGTGAGAAATTTAGAAGTTGGAGTTAATAGTACTATTTTGTGGACTAAAAAAGAGCGTATGATAAAGCAGAGTTAACATCACATATTTATTTGTAATACCAAATAGATTGCAAATAATATAATATATTATTATATAATCAAAATAAATACCTGAAATTCTTCTTCGATAAATGTTGTCTTTGTAACAGGATTTAACCTTTTCAAGTGTGCTATCCGACTTGAAAATTCTGACAGTGGGAATTGCACAACACTTTTGAGATGAAACTCAAGCAATGCGTTGTAAATGCAAACACATTGATGCTAAATAAATCAAATAATTTCAACCTTTCAGAAAAATGTACAGAAAAAGTATACATAATATTGGTAAATAACAATTAAGTAATATATATGTGTATATATATATATATATAATATATATACAATAATGTTTTAAATGTTGCTTTAGGAAACATGGACAACAAATTATATGATTTTAATTACAGTTAAAAGAAAATAGGCTAACCACTGTCTGAACCATGTCTACCCGATCGCCTCTTATTTGTTTTAGATATCCGAGGATATCGACAGACGCTTCTACCTCCATCATATCCAACATGGCGTCAATGACGATGTAGGTTCCTGTCCGTACAACACTGGCACTATAGTATATAAAGAAGTTCAGTAGGATAAAGTTAGTTTACTTGATGACTTCATCATCGTCATTTTTATCATCATTAATATTGTTTTATTAATATATATGAATTTGATCAGAAATTGTAATTACCTTTTTTCCTTCATATATGTTAGTAAGCATGACGACAATTTCGATTTTCAGTTGACATATCATTCGCCAAAAATCATAAAGGGAGTCTTTGTTCGGACCTGAATAAACACACAGTTACTTGTATGATATTGATAAGAATTAGTGATTAAAATCAAAAACAGATACGAGAAAAGATAAGTATAATATTTTTCTCACCTTGACAAGCTATGTATTGTCTTTGCCCGCTATATCCCTAGAAAAGTAAACATAATTTAAGTACTGATTAATTTAAAATATAACACCAATTCCTGCTTTCTGTAGTTGGACCTATACCACACAGTTGTTAAATTTGTTAGTAAACATTGTGTGCTTGAAATCATCGATAGATTTTTGTTCTCGGTTCTATTTCTTGTGAGAATGAGCCTCTGGACTCCAATAGTATTTATAAATAATTTTAAACGAGACATTGCTGCTGAGAGCAGATTAGGTATCTGAAAGAAAGCATTTGGGCATATCTAAGGAATTTTAAAAAGTATATTAAAAAGACATAGTATTTATTGTAAATTAACCTTGATATAACTTGCGTTGTAGTAATCATATTTAGAGTTGCTCTCCACTTTGTCCAACACGACGCATGAGTGATTATCTAATGAAAATGAAAATCGAGCAGAACCTCGGGATAATACGGTAACGATATAATATAATCAGATATCACATAAAAGGCTAACTGAACATACAATGCAATATTATTCTATTGCATGATCAGTTAGCCTTTTATGTAATATCTGATTTGTAAAATTGGACAATAAGAGAATATGGTTTTATATTAGAAAATGTAATAAATTAACTTAAAACATGGGAACGATAAGGATAAAATAAAATAAACAATTTCTAATTAAACAATGATAAAAAAAAATTATTGCTGACATAAAAATTATTCACAAATTTAGGATACATGGTTCAGGGTTACCTCTGGCCCTGCCAACTTATGCTCTCGTCGAGGACATCAGACCCACCGTCGGGCAAGTCCTGGATTGGACGTGAACAGTAACATTAATGCTTACATGAGATGCTATTCTTGGATCTATGATATTCTTGGGCCGTCACTTTCCATGGTCGCGTCTGACCAACTGGTAAGGGCTGCAAGAAAAAATGTTGGATAATTGTCTTTGGTTGTATTTATCAATATGATTATTTAGTAAACATTTTAGTGATTCAAAAATAGAAAAAAGGACTAACATAATCATTATCAACTTTATTCAAATATCATAGTTGAGAAGCATTAGAAATAAAAAAGAGAAAAAGGAAATCAGTGATTGATGTCTGCCAAACAAACTGCTCATGTAATGTCGTTCAACAAAACGGCTCACATTACCAAGGCTTCCATTAGTATTTAAGTTTATTAAAGCTTTACGCAATTGGTACTTTGACGATTCTGTTATGTAAGTTTAGCTTGTACATTTATTATTATGTTCTATATTTAGCAACCTTAAATGTATTAAATTTATTTTATTAAACACAAATATACTAACATCAAATTCATTGTGTATTCCTTCTGTGGATAGGTTCTTTGTGACGTATAAAACCAAATCAGAGATTGAAATTCTTCGGGAAAATGTGGTTTCTGTTGCTTTCATTGGAACGTTTTCGCACGTGAGCATCTTTTGATCTGGTGAACGTAGATTTGGTAATAATTAGGAAGCACCAGTTGATGATGAAAGTCCGTCCATTAAATAATCATAATCATCAACAGAATTACCTGTTGACACAGGCCTATCTGTAAATGCTCTAAATTCCGAGAGCAGAAAATTATTATCTAAGAATTCAATACTGTCCAATTTTTTGTATAATGTCATGCCTCAGAATGCCTAATAAATATTTGCGTTAGTTGTATTTGATGTAAACATTTCAAATATTTTGGAAAAACTTCAAAAAAACATTCAAAGCTACCAAAATGCAACAGATGGAAATAAAAAAAATTAAAAAAAAACAGATCTTGAACATTCATTATAAACCTGTCGGACTAAATGAAAAAAATAACACTAAAAATTGAAATGATAATGAAGTTGACTTTTGAGGGAATGTATTATTTGTTATGAGAAATGGAACATGTTGCTAGAGATAGTATGTGTATCAATAATTCCTACCTATTTTCTCATTAGATTCGAGTTGTATTTCATCTTGCCCAGGTTGCACCTTACCTTTACCGTACATCATCTTCCTATAATATAAAACAGATAGCAAAAGTCTTACAGATTATTATCGCTGTCACGACAGCTACCTCTGTCACTGTCGTTAGTTATGATTATGCCGGCCCACTTTTAACAACATCTCGCTACGGGTATTTAATAGTTTAGTTATTATTTTTATCGTCAGCGTTAGTGTTTATTGTTAATTTTGTAGCAACGTTTGTTTATCATGTATATTAACTATACTTTTCCGCTGCGACTTTTCAGGGGTCATTATTTAGGTTACTACAAATCAACAATGTTAATTTCTTATTTTATTATCCCATCGAAAAGCAAATTCAAAAGTCGCCACTTACTGGTGAGAACACAGACGAACAACATACAAACCTACATTTTATAATGAGAGCGTATATTGAATGTCTGATAATATTATTATTAGTCTAGTTAAAAAAATCGCCTTACCTTCAGTACGAAGGTTGAATTCCTGACAGAAGCACTACTGTATTTCTACTATTGATTTATGCAGGCCAATATCTTTATATGTATTTTGGAAATGATATGATATTTCAGTAATTCAAATTAAATGATAATAACAATACATATTATTATTATTATTATTATTATTATTATTATTATTATTATTCGTGTTAAATATTCAAAGAGTTGATTTTGAAAGTAATTGAACTGATAAAATTAAGTGTAATACACATACCAAAATATTATAAAAACTACAATCATTAAAACAAAACAAACAGCAGCTGCAATACCACCAACAATAGCAGTATATCTACTAAAATCAGTACCAGACTTGGAGCTTGAATTTGTAGGTGATGAGGTTTCCGCTATTGAGGAAATTAAGACAGATATAGTAATATATAAAAATGAAGCTTTGTGGAGATAACATTCGCAATGTAAGTGTAAGTGATAAAATATATATATATATATATATATATATATATATATGTAAATAAATTACGTCTTAACAATTTACCGTATGGTATATGGCCTAAGTATTATTTAACATGTCTTATTAACAATACTATATAAAGTTACTGAAATTATTTAGAATCGATGATAAACTAGATATATCAATACCATTATCTAGAAGACTACTTTCAACAATTTCACTTTCGCTGTCTTTATTAGAAACAGTTATCGAAATAACGTAAACTTCATCAGTAGCAGTGTTGTGTATCGTTGTTTGTGTATCAATTCCACGGTAAACCACATCACCAACTCCCTCATTTGTATTCAAATTGAAGTACACAGTGTAAATATATGTTAAATTAAGACATTTGAGTGTCTCTGCATCCACTTCAATATCCTATTGAAAGAAACGCCATTACATATTTTAAATACAAAAAATACAGAAAGTTGTTATGTATCTAGATTTGTGCAAAAAATAAATAAATTAAATAACCTTACACCATAACGATGCTTCATAAAAATTGTTTTTATATAATTAGAAACATTGTCAGATAGCAATGCAACTTTAGAAAAACAAGTACGTAAACAC